AAACAGTTATGAAATAATACTCTAAAGTGATACCCCATGTGACATTATGTAAATCATGACTTTTTGAATTATTCATTAGTTTTCCAATTTTGTTCAAATGTCAGGTTTTACAATAACTTACTCCTATGGGGAGCAAAAGGTCACTGAAGCAACACTGAGATTTTCCACATATATTTGATAAATAAGTAGCAATGTCAAGCATTTATCTTTATGAACAAGAGGAACCTTGAAAGCAGCTTGCCCAAAGACATAACACATTACTCAGGGTGAGATACATCAAGAGATAGGAAGCATTGCTGGACCTTAAGGAATATTTAAACCTATTCTGGAAACATAAACACAATAAATTTAAAGTCACCTGGAGTGACAACTGAGTGGTATAACATAAAATATAGATTCTCTATCTAACTAACAGTATTGAATGAAAGCTATTTGAAGGACAACTTGATCAAGATCTATCAAAATTAACTAAATTTAAAAATTTTTGTATTTATTATTTTTATTTTAAGAGTATGAGTATATAGCTTGCATGTAGATAAGTGCACCGGTGCAATGCCCTTGCAGGTCAGAAGAAGGTGTTAGAGCCCCTGGAACTGGAGTTACAGATAGTTGTTAGTCACTATGTGGGTGTTGGGAATCGAACCCAGGTCTTCTGCAAGAGCAGCCAGTACTCTTAACCACTGAGCCATCTCTCCAGTCCACTAAAATGTCTTAAAATGAAGGCTAGAAAGCAAACATTTAAGAATTTATTCTAAAAATACAGATTTACTTTGATAGAAAGATATAAGTAAAAATATTGATTCCTGAAAAGTTTCATTATTGGAAATTATGGAAACAACCCAAACATTTGACAATGAGATACCAAATACACACAAATATAGACTATATATCCATATGGTATAATGTTATGTATATTTTTTAATCTGTGTGTGATGTGTGTGTACATGTTTGTGTAGATGAGTACAAGTATTGCATGATTGTGCCACAGTGCCCATATGGGGGTCAGAGGACAATCTCAGGTGTGGGTCCTCACTTTACACCTTCTTTGGAATAGGGTCTCTTGTTGCTCACCTCTAAATACACCAGGCCAGATGGCTGATGAGCTTCACAAATTCCCATATCACTGTAGGAGTAGTTGGATTATAGAAACACACACCTCTGGCTTTTACATGGATTCTGATGATCGGATCCAAAGTCCTCATGTTTGCACAGCAAGTACTTTATCCATTCTACCATCTCCCTAGCCCTATTTTCTTTTTTCTTTAAGACTTTAAAAAAATTATGTGTATATGTATTCAGGGGGATATATGCATATGAGTACAGGTACCCAGAGAGTCCAGAAGAGGGTGTTGGATCCCTTGGAACTAGGGTTAACAAGTGGTTGTGAGCAACCCAATATGGGTGCTGAGCACTGATCTTCTGTCCTCTGCAAGAGCACAATGCACTTTAAACTGCTGAGCCAGCCCTCTAGACATTTATTTATTTATTTATTTATTTATTTATTTATTTTTGTAGAAAATTGCCAAATTTTAAATAGCAAATTTAGTAAACAATTTTTAAGAATTCAACAAGTTTAATTTTAACTTACCATCAAGTCTCAAGGCTACTAGTAGGAACACAGTTCCATTTCTTTTTTTCTAAATTTGTTTTTATTGAATTTTTGTGTATTTTATACAGAATATCTCAAAGAATCTTAATCATGTTTACACCCCCATCCCCACCAGCACACTCCTGCAGCTCCCCCCCCCACGGGAACCCATATACTCTCTCTGTCATACATATTAAGGCCCAATGTGACAAGTCAGTGTCCCCAGATGTTCCCTTGTGCAAGTCCATCCACTGAGGTCTAGTCAGCCTATCTAGAGTCTCTTGTTTTAGGAAGATCAGCTCTTTACCCAACAGCAATCAGCTGCCAATGTTTCCTCAGCTAAGATTGGGGTCTGCTCTTCATTTCCCCAGGTCTATGCTGGGTTTTTGTCTGCCTGAGATTGCATGAGACTTGTGTATGCCAACACCATTGTCATAGAATCATATAAGCAGTGTCCCAGGAGCTTGTAGGATTCTGTTTCCATATGGTCGTGCACCTCCTTCCTGGCTCTTACAATCTTTCTGCACCCTCTTCTACAGTGGTCCCTGAGCCCAGGTGGGTGAAGTTTAATACAGGAGTCCCATCCATGGGCCAACAATCCACAGACTCTTAATCTCTACGTTTTGGCCATTTGTAACCTTTTGTGTTCCTGTCCCTCTGTTGCATGAGGGATCTTCATTAATGAGAACTGAAAGATTCATTAGTGTCATCTTCATTACCCATGTTCTATGTTCTGTGTACTTTAGATGTGCTGCTTAGGCCTGAGTAATTCATAGACGATGTCTGTGTGTGACCAGTTGTGGTACTTGGCAATAGTCTTTGGTGCAAAATAAGGTTCTTTGATGAGTGGTGACTGGAATATTTGTCTGTAAATATAAGGATACATATTTTGCACAGAGCAAGAAATTACATTAGTCTAGAGATGTGACAGTCTTGGGGTTTTCTCTAGGATCTGTGATCTCTCCAGCCATGTACATGTGGTTATATTTACAGTACCACACTTGAGTTTCCTCCCACTGGGTAAGTCCAATTAGGTAGCTATTGATTGCCCTCAAGATAAAAGTGCCACTACTGCACCAGTGTCATATGTTGTCCTGGCCATTAATGTGGCTATTTGGTCTTGAAGCTGGTGTTGGATCACTAACTGATGTTTTCCCTTAGCACCTTCATAGTGTTCTCCAAAGCTATGAGAGCTAGCCTTCACGGAAAATGGTTTCAGGTCAGTTGTAGCTCTATTGCTCCAAATCCTATGTTTGAAGTATGTTCTACCTTCAGCAGTAGGGTCTTACCTTCAAGTTCTGGGAGGTCACCAAGGACTGTGGCAATAGCCTGTATAATTTTTGGAGTCTCTTGGACCACCCTGGCCAACAACTCATACAACATTTCTCCTATCTGGCACTGTTTCTTGTTATGTATCCTTAGCTATACACGTGGACTCATGTAGAGATGCTTTTTTAAAGTGACTTGGAATTATAATTTATTGTTATCAAATAATATCTAAGAAATATTAAGTCACAAAAGTAAGTTGCCAAAATGTGAGAATAATATGCTATTCTACAGACATCAAAAGATAAATGGTTGTTTACAAATATAATTATAAAAGCATGCACTATTTCTGAAAGACGTGTATCAAATTAATTTAAAATTTCTCTAGGGAGGAAATAAGGAAAGAGCCAACAGAGGAGAAAAGGTTTTTTTTTTGTGTGTGTAGTATCACTTTTTGAATAATTTAAATTTTCATCAGATACATGCATATATTTATGAAAAATGCTCATCAAATAGGACATAGGAAAATTCTTTAACTACTAATTTTATTTCCCCAACTTAAGTAAGAACTCTAATTTCAAAATGAGCAAAACTGAGTAAATGTGACAACTTTGCATTTTAGAATAGAAAAATTACTAAAGGCTTCTTTAAAACTAATGAGCTTAGAAAAAATAAATTTTCATTAAAAATATTTCCTTAATCTCTTTATCCTCATACTCAGTATTGTTTTACTCAACTTTATATATGTACAGTGATGTCATGGGGCTTGTTTCACTAGGGTAGATATATATGAGACACGGAAGTGGTTGCAATGTCTTAAAATTAATTAAGTTTTTGCTTACAGTTTTTAACCACATCCTCTACCAAAATACTGTGTACAGTTTCTGTATTTTGTAAGTCATTGTAAATGACAATAATTCTCTAACAAGTGTTTTATAATGGTCCAATAATTATATGTTCAAAAAGCACAGAATAAAACCTTGAGAAGTGCTGGGGGTTGTTCCTACACATGAAACCGCATTTCTTCATGTTGTTATGGTGTAATTCTCATCCTTCTAAATGTAGCCACAGCTACAGATATCCAGAGGAAGCACATGCCCTAAACACCTGCCTCTGGGATGTATATTCTCTCCTTCCAGTGTTGATACCACAGAGGTTTATCTGCTAATAACAAACCATCATTACGATATGTCTATGAGAAAGACTGAGAAAAAAAAATTCACCAATTTTAAGATTATTATTTAATGTGAACAAAATATTTTAAAATTAATTTCAGTATTTAAATGGAATTTTTAAAGTTTTAAAAATATTTCATTTATTATTTTATGTGTATGTGTGTATTGCCTGCATGTAGGTAAGTGCACCCGTTTCATGAAATGCCCATGGAGGACTGAAGAGGCTGAAGAAATATTCTTTTTTTCATGACACTTTAACAAATAATAAATACTGTATTCAATTGGAAACACTAAAATAGAAAAAAGAAGCAAATATAAATATTATATGTATGTATGTATGTGTGTGTGTGTGTGTAATTTTAACCATTTAGGGAACTGATGTCCAGAAAAATATTTTAATAACTTTTCCTGAGTTGACACCTAATTAAAATACTTTAGAAAATTATTCACATGATTCAGGCATTTTTAAAGCCCACTGCTTATAAATATGCATATGTGCATAAAGTATAAAGGACTGGAGCTTGATAGCCAAGTGCAGTCTATGTTTCACTTTACCGGAGACAAAGAAAGGGTGGGCAGCAATGCAATAATGCCCAGCCCCAATCTGCTCATACTTCAAGACTGAAAAGGCAAATAAAAACAAACCGGCACTTCCTAAGAGGTACAGTTTCATCTAAAAGTAATTCCCCTTGGATTTTTATGGAAAACGATAAGGGGTGGACACTGAAAATTCACAATCTTACAAATGGAACATACTTCGTAATATTTGACGAAATAGGTTCCTAGTAAGGTCGGACAAGTATGGAATTAGGTTGAATTCTCAAAATCCTAGAAATTTTACAGAGTATTATAATTAGCATAATTTTCTCTAAATTGGAAGATTCTGGTCCACGTAATCCGGTACCACCATGAAGGGGGAAGGTGGGGGCACGCGCCCAGGGGATCACAGGTCATCAGGCTGCGTGGTGGGCTCTGAGCTAGGTTCACACGCAAGACTCTAGGCTGCACAGGAAGCTCTGGGCTACCCTACACCCACTGGGGCCTATGGCCTCCAAGACTCCTACATGCTGCGTGTGCAATCACCGTTCAGAAACAGTCCAGCCCAGCGAACACAGAGAACCACCCCTTCCCACACTCATGAAGGACTACAAAAACATCATTGCTGGCACGGATGTTGTGAAAAGCATCTTGTTATTGGAAATGGCCAACCGGAAAGAAAAGCTAAATATGAAACAAGAAACGTTGATGAGCAAGATTGCAGAAAACTCCGAGGACACCAGATCCCTGGAGGCTCAAATTGTTGCCTTGATGATCAAGTTCCTGCAATTACGAAGAACACATGCAGAAACACTAAAAGGCCAAAGCCCAAAAACGCCATCTGCAGATGAGTATCGACCAAAGGAAAAAGATGCTCAAAATCTTCCGCCGGACCAACTATGATGTCTTTGGGTAGACATGCAGGGAGCTGGGGAATGAATGCACCAATCCTCTTCCGCATTTCCAGGGCGTCCATCGCTGCTTCACAGCCATCGCCGCTTCACAGCCAAGAAGGCTCTGTGCATTCAAGTTTTCCAGACAGTGCAAAAGCTGAAAAGCAATGAAGGACCTTAAAAGCTTGCAGCAGCCACCGCCGGAAAATAAGACAACCAGGGAAACCCAGAGAACCTTTCCCAAGCTCTACCAGAGGTGTCCAAAGAAAATAAGGTCCATTTTGTCTTGAAGAATAAAATAAAATAATAAAGTGGAAAAGTCTATTTTGCGTCCTTACTACCTAAATTATCAGAATAGATTCTACAGGAGGATAAAGGGAGCAATGAATTGTATTAAATATTTTTGGAAAGGAAGAAAAGAAAGAGGAATGGAGAGGGAAAGAGAAATAAAGAAAAAGAGTGATGGTTAGTTTCAACTGTCACCTTGACAATCTAGAGTGAGCTAGGAAGGGAGTCTCTCAGTGAGCAATTGTTTAAATCTGGTTGGTCTTTGGGCATGCATGTAGGGGATTATATTATATCTTGATTATATTAGTTGGGGTGGAGAGCTGCCTCTATTTTGGATGGCATCGTTCCTTAGGCAGGAGATCCTGGTGTGTGTAAGAGTGGAGAAAATGAACTGAGCCCAAGCACACACGCATGCATTCAGGCATTGCTCTCTGTTCTTATTTATGGATGGAATCTGATCAACTCTCCTAAGTGCCTGTGACTTCCCTATTATATTAACTATAATCTGAACCCTATACTAAAATAAACCCCCTTTCCCTTAAGTTGCTTTTGTCAGGATTTTTTTTTAACTTTTACAAAAACTTTGAGAATTTCATTCATGCATATAAGGTGTTTTGATCAAATTCATGCCCACACCCTCCGTTCCAGCACCTCCCATATCTCCCCATCACTTTTTTCTTTTTCTTTTTTTTCTTCTTCATTCATTTCTTTATTTTTATGGGGCTTTTGGCTGTTCTGACATTCCCCACTCTATAAAGGTAACCTTAAAATCTTTTAAGGATTAGATACAAACGCCCAAATACTTTCGACATTTTTGGCCTTTGGAACAGAGTATGTTGCTAACAGTCCCAAGGACATTTTGACTTTTAGCCAAGAAACTGGCTACTTTTCTTTGGGGTCTTTTTATCCTAACTGCCTAGCCAATTCCTACCTTCTATTCTTATCACACCATCCTCTGAAAGGGTTATCCAAATTGCCAATAGGGCATAAGGACGCAGACCACTCTGGCTTCTTCCATGCTGAACAGGGACACAGGGTGAGGCAATTGGAATACCCCTTCAGTGGGTCTCTAAAAGACTCCCAAATTTCATAACTCTTATCTCTAAGGGGAAAAGAATGTCCTTGAATCGTCAATAGGAGATATGAAGGAGGAATAAAGACAAGAGCATTACAAGTTCTAGACAGGGAACTAGAAAAATTCAGAACAGGCCAATTTTCAAATATTCATATAAGAGTATTGGAATTTCTTGACAAGAGCTTCCAAAAGCATCCCTCTGTTGGGTTCTTCCTCATTTTTCTTCTGTCTCCCAAGGCTGGACTCTAGAGTGATGGATTCAGGATTTGCTTTCAGGTATTTTGATAGCTGTTGGACTTGTTAGAATCAGTGTCAGTTCCCTCTCAAAGGCTTCTAAATGGGGGGGGAAAACAAATTTATCCTTCATTTTAGAACAATAGCTGGTTATCTCCCTTAGCTACAGGTGGGCACTATAGTATTGGAGACCAAGATTTGAAGTCTTACATCTGAGCAGCACTTTTTGGTTAGGAACAAAATCATCAATGAGAAATAATTGTTTAAAAAACTTTTTATATAGACTAAAGCCTAATGTCAGAATTTTTTAATCACAGAAACAGGAAACAAAGCTAAGAGAAAGAAAGAGAAAGGGGAAGGAAAGGAGGGGGAGAAAAGAAGAGAAGAAAGGGGAAAAGCTGGTTTATATGCTTCACAGATTCTCTAGGATGCAAGCATATTTATCCTAAAATATGAGATAATCATTGCACATTCACAGTCCTAACTCATACTGCCAAGTCACAAACTTATCTTTGAGGACTCTTTATTGCCCTTTCTACACAGACTTCTTTGGTGACTTTTCCTTGTCAGTGCCTTTTTCCTATAAATTATATATTCTACCTGCTGTCATGTGAAACAAATGAAATGCTTATTAGGATGGTTTGTTCCTTAGGCACTAATACTTCACTGCAGGACATTTGAAACCCTAAATTACTTACAGATCCAAAGGCAGGAAACTGTAGTGACTGATTATTCTTGATCGCCAGCTTGATTGGATAGAGAGGTGTCTAGGAGATGGATGAAGCATGCCACTGGTATGTCTGAGAGTGTTTCCTGACAGTTAGATCCTGAGGGTTCCTATTTAATCCATGGTTTAACCCACTGATGTATTCAAAATTTAAATGGTCTATTGGGGGGTGGAACCAAGGAATATGGGGTCTAGCTGGGGGAAGTGGGTCACTAGGGGCATGCCTTTGGAGGGTATGCCCTCTCCCTGACTCTTTCTATTGTTCTTTTTGTTCCCTATCCACCATTACACAAACAACTTCTCTTATCCATGATCTGCTGCCATTATGTTCTGCTTCAACACAATCCAGAAGAAACACAGCCACCTAACCATTGCCTAAAACCTCTGAAACTGTGAACCAAAAAAAAAAAAAAACCTAAAATCCTTCCTTTTAAATTGTTTCTCTTAATCATAGTGACAAAAGGCTAGCACACTCCAATTCACTTAATCACTCGCTCACTCATGGTGTGTGTGTGTGTGTGTGTGTGTGTGTGTGTGTGTGATTTTTGTTTTTTTTTAATCTGATGAGACTTACTGGAATGGCTGTTCCAAAATAACTTGAACTTGAAACCTTATTTTACAGTGTCTTGCTGGGGGACCCAACTTAAAGCATTCAATCTCTCATTATACAAGAGCATTTATTTATCTTATCATGAGGACTAGGAAATGACTCAAGCAATGAAAATCAAATATGAATCTTGAATACAATGAATATTTTCAAGCACACATTTTGTATTCCCTTGAATTCATCACACTAAAGACCATAAACTTGGGGCTGGAGAGATGACAGCAGTTAAGAGCACTGGCTGCTCTTGCAGAAGACCCCGGTTTGATTAGTTCCCAGCACACACATGGTGGCTAACAACTGTCCATAACTCCAGTTCCAGAAGACCTAATACCCTCTTCTGACCTCCCCAGGCATTTCACAGCACAACTGCCCCTACCTACATGCAGACATTGCACTCAACCACATAAAAAAAATAAATACAACATTTTCTAAAAGACTATATCTTTCCTCCATTCCTAACAAGCCCTATCATTATTGCTCATCTTTTTCTTCCAACTGAGGTCTATACTAATGATTACTTAGTCTTACACAGCATCCTTTTTATGGGTTTTTTTCAGCAAATTAAGGTTGACTTTCTCATCTCACCACCTTTAACACTTTATCCCACTTGTTCATTTTGAGTATCATAATTTTTATTTTCTCTTCCATATCTGCAATATTCTTTGACTATTCACTGCAAAGTATCACTTCATATCACAGTAGTCAGTATGTCTGTATACTATTTTTTTCACTTCTCAAAATTCTTTTATTCCCTAGACATTTTCGCTAATGAAATGAAAAGTAATTTCTCATTATTCAGCCACTTTTAAAGGTTTTATTCCTGTGCTAATATAGCAAAATATTAAATTTAATCCCCAAACAACCCTATGATGAAGACTATTATTTTTTATTTCATAGATTAGAAAATTTCTGCTTTTTAAATATGGGAATGACTTGTACAAATATGAACATGCTTCTTCTTTTACAAAACAAAGAAGGGGGAAATGTGGGGATGACTTATTGGATGCTATCTCAGCTGGTTTGTAAATGTAAAACAAGCTTACTATACCTTGGTCCTTAATCCCTCATGACCCTTCATTGCCCTTGATCAAAAATAATGCATGTATGTGTGTATATGTTGTGGATATCAATCAAGCACTGTAAGCAGCAGATATTCATTGGCTGCAACAAATTTGTGTTGTGGGCAATAGGTGAGATTAGACTGATAACACCTGTTTATGCTTGTATGTGCTGTTGTAGGTCAGTAGTTTCAATAAACAAAGAGGAAGGCCTTGGTTAGAGCATAGTTCCAGGAGGAAGCTGAAGGCATAGGTCCCCAGACCAGTTCGGGTCCCACTCTTCATTAAAATGGATGCTGATAACCAGGCTGTGATCATTCAGACATTGCTGTGTTGTGGCACTACATACCACTACAGCTAGAGTTGTAATGTTTGCACTAGGTCTACTATATTCATTCCACAGCCACAGACAAAGAATCTAGATGTATTTCCTTTGTGTTCTTATTCTTTTGTAAGAATCTGTAAAATAGTATCTAAGTAATACTTCTCATGTTTGAAGAATTATATCCTTTTAATCTTTCACTGACCAATTGTTATGGATAACTTCAAACAATGATCTTATTAGGGGGCCATGTTCCCTGTGAGTCAGACTTGTGGAGACGTTTGTTCACTAACTTCATCTTTTTCCTTGCAGAAAGTCCTTTTTTCTGTATAAATTCTTTTTACTTGGAAAATATTGTAATAGTTCATAGTGTTGTTTCTGCCACCGAAGTTTCTCTTACTGTGTTTGCATTCTAGGCATCCTGACAAGCCTGCCTTTCCCATCAGTTCATTCACAAGTCATGCTGGTACCTGGTGACATTTTTTTTTCCAAAAAAAAAAACCAAAGAACAAAACAAAACAACAACAACAAAAAAAAAAACAAGTTCCTTTAACATGAGACTGTTTCAAAATTGGATGGTGGTGTTTTTTCATAGCCTCGAACAGTAGTATACATTTTTATCTTCCTACTTGTACTGGTATTACCTACTAGCAAGCAATTAATGTCAGAAGAAAGACATTAAGCAATGGCTAAGCCTGTCAAGTATGGGACACCCAGCACATTCTAAGGAGAACGGGTTAATTGACATGTTGCTTCAGATCCAAGTCTTCTCTCTGTACTTTTGAGAGTCATCATATCAAAATGATGACTTGATAATATTCCAGTTCAATTCACT